AAAATTATACTGTTTTCATGAGAAGAAGTGAGCTGGGAAGGTGAGCTAAAGAGCTTACTACGATCCTGCTTCTCGTGAAATAAATCTCGGTAATGGAGTACGACAATATATCTCTAGAAGACTGCAGTCCGATTACTGGGACAAAAATACATCTTGTTAACTAGATGAAAATTATTTCCATACAAAAAGGGGACAATTCCAGCCAACCCATTCGTCGAGTTCAAATGAAATGGTCCTATGGCTACGCTAGTGTTTGTTCAACTATTACAGAAACTTTCGAAATAAATTATGCCCCATCACACTAGAGACTCGGATATCAACCGGTCTGACAACAGGTAACATCAACTGAAACACCTCAAGGTGGAGGATTGCTTGTCTGCATATATGCGGCATAAAGTGGCGGCCTTTCATTGGTAACTGTTGTCTGTGGACAGAGAAAACTCAGATTAAACGAAACGTTTTTAGAAAAGGGACTGTCAGGAGCCACCTTAAAACGTTGATGTCAATTCAGAAAGGTAAAATCTTGGCCGAAACTCATGTCCTGAGCGCTTTTGGAGCCAAATTTTCCAAATGTAAAACCCCATGTGATAACAAATTCACTTTTAATTGACAATAAATTGTCACCGACAACAGCCCTTTTCAGGACTACTCTCGCCTTGGTGATGACAACAAACAACCAAGCTCTCTATTGTGGTAAATGTAAATTGTAGACATAAATCAAAGGAGAGGAGGCTGACACAGAACCGCGGAATATCATCTTTATATACACAGAAACAATCATCAGCAACACAGCTCTACTCAATCAGTAGTGAAAACAAAGTCTGAAAAAAACTCAGGTTTGTACGGGAGCTAGTATATTATAATCATATACTGACAGACGTCGTATAAGCGAGTGAGTCGCGTTGTCTGAAAACCTTTTAACTTAATTGGTAAAACTTAAAACAAAATGGTAAATCAGCAGAATACTCGTACTTGAATAAGCTTTGTGGTCGAAAATTTTCGAGTTTTCCGCTTCCCTCCTTTTGCTTTCTGACAGATTTATGCGAACGTATTAAAGTTTGTTGTTTCGCAAATTTGGCGTAACAGCTGAGGTTGTTTCTTCCCTGTAAAATTTGCGTGGGAAATTACCCCGACTCCGGCCAAAACTGTTCCCCTTATATACATGCCCCACGTTTGAACGCTGCGTTGCATCTCGCAGGTTACACTGCTCGTGCCGTAGCCTGCTGATCAGCTACCATTATCACTCTGCATACCTGAGATTGTACTTGAGTCTGTATCTGAGGGCTAAGAGCGCCTGTCTGTGTCACAGTCACTGTACCAGCTGGGTTGGACCCGGGGGGAAGAGCCCAGTAGGCTGGCTGCTGGATGGTTACCCCTGGCTGTAATTATTATGAAGTTAAAAATAAATCACTGTCAAAGTCAGGTTGTTCATTTCATAAATAGCACACAAATGAACAATTCTCAAAGTTATGTACTCTAAAGGTACTTAAACCCCTTTTATTGTATCTATTTTGAAATCACTGGCTCATTGCAATCTTATTGGCCCTAAGCAGTGCAATTTATTTATTCACAAAGTGCACAAGAGTTTGCTCTAAATTATATTTTCCGCTTAAGCCAATGAGGAAGTAAAACTAAAACAAAACAACACATTAGATTTCAGAGCTTATTTAAAGTTACCGATCAAATTTCAAGAAAATGAAGGACAAAGAAGCCATTGTGTGGCAAATTTTGCAAAGTGCTGGTTGAAGATATAAAATATTTATTAATAACTGTATTGAGTAAGTCCTGTAACTAAGTGATTAAATTATTAGTTACTTTTAATGAAGCTTCGTGTTGTTCAAATTTGATTCTGCCAACTCATGTGTAAATACACTATGGACTGACAGAGTTCCTATGAAGTATTCTTTCTAAACAGGATACATTACAAGAACAACTCAAAAATAACTTATTTTTGAGTTGACAAACATACAAGTACAAACAAACAAAACACACACACAAAAAACAAATTCATAAAAAAAGCAGACAGAAAAAAAATGAGCACAATAAAAAAAAAAACAACAACAACAACAATCAAACAAACAGACTGAAGTGACCATACACCAAAAACACACAAATGAAGTTAAAAAACAGTCAAACCTTTTGCGGTGGACCACTTGGTTAACAATATTTAGGAAGATTTTTGACAATTTTGGATTGATGTGTTTTAACGCTGAAAACTTGAGATTAATAACTACGTCATGAGACAAATGGAATAAAACTTCATTACATTAGAGCATTGAACCCCTTATTTACGACACTGCAACCTTATTCAAGATGGAACTCACATGAACTTGCTGTTGAACGTAAACTTGAGGCTGGGCAACCACTGGGTAAGCTTGTGTTGCAGTTGTAACTGCACCAGTTGGCTGAAAGATAACCATGCCTCCCTGTGGTCCTGTATACGCAGGCTGCCCAGGCTGAATGTATGTCACTTGTTGATTGGTCACAGCCTGACAAACAATAGTAAAAATCAAATCTTTCAGTCCAAAAATCAATATAACCATGTTTGAATTTAAAACATTTATTGGCTGCCTTAAATCTGGCGATAATGACAAAAAATTTTGCTCTCAGTCCTGATGATTTAAGTTTATTTCTAACTGAAAGCCAAAATGAAGATCAGTATGTTTGCTGTTTACTATCTACCAGTTATATAAGCACAGCAAGTAAAAATAATTGTGGGAAATAAGCTGGACTATTTCATGTTTATTTTCAAGTTTAGCTTTAAACGAAAGCAAAAATTGAGGTTTTCTAACATTTTTGCTGACTACAGTTACCAATTAATGTTTATTAGTAGTAAGTAAAATAATTGTGGGATATAAGCTGGATTATTCAATGCTCATTTAATTGAAAGTCAAAATTGAGGTTTTTTAACGTTGTTGCCAAACAGTTACCAGTCATGTATTAAGTGCAGTAATAAGTAACTCCAATGAAACTCCGATGATGTTAGAGATCTACATGTACTTTTAAGCTGTGGTTAATATAAGCTAGGTCACTGAGTTGTGTTCTTGGATGCAACAGTCTACTCTCACAGGGTCTTAACTCTCTCCTGCATCCAGAAGTATTACATCTTATGAGACATTTTTGTTGTGTAGTATTGCTGAGTATTTTTACGAGTTGAGCTGTATTTTGATAAGCCTGTAGGGCGAGTTAAAATACAAACAGCAAGTAAAAATACTCAGCAATACTACACTACAAAACGTCTAATAAGAGACTTATTATCCAACACACTAAATTGTTATTTCAGTGCAGCTGAATTTTGTGGATATTTCTGGAGTACAAATATCAGGTGATGTTTGGACTTGTCTTGCACATTATTTGTGCTCTACAAAACACAGTTGGATAATAAAAATGTGTACTTGTTTCTCCATGCATTTGTGCATCTGAGGCAAGTACTGGTCGAATAATAATCTGACTCTCTGTGCTTTCTTAACCATCTCACTCCCAGATCTCATTAGAAATTCTCCTTACTGTTTGCCATATTATTCTTTTGACATTACTTCTGCGAATTTGGTATGGGATCAACAAATAATCCCCTAGTTAATAGCTTTTTCTTTATTCTCATCGCTTGTCTGCTTGATTTTGTATTGATATTGTAAAGAGAAAAACTGTCTTGGTCACTCATGAGGGCCGGCTCATAAAACTATACATCGCATGATTCTAACATCAGTACAATCATGAATTACAAAGTGTCTGCTTACAGAACTCACCACAGCGCTTGGGGTATTGCAGCAAACAGCCCCACAGCAGTAGATTGATGAAGTAAGAGCCAAAATGAACTCAACAATAGCGCAAATAAGCAAGCAAGAACCCAAACCAAGTCCAACAGCAGCCATATGCCTCTTGCTCGCAGAGTTACAATAGGTTTTGTAACTAAAGGTGTTGTAGGAACCTAAACGGTAAGTCTTGCAGTTACGGATCTCAGAATAATTAGCCAGAGCAATGCAGTAGGTGATGAACATGCAGAAAGTCAAAACACAAGCTGTGATGGCAAATCCCATGTAAGTGCCAATCTGTATAAAACAAAGCATAGAAAATCCGAGATTATTATAATACTAACTTAAGAAACTCAATGCTAATCATTTGTTGTCAATGTAATAATAATAATAATAGTAGTACACTTCATATCATGTACTTGCTCATTCAAGATTTAAGCAGAATGGTAAGTTTTACAATGCAAAGATACATATCTTTTGACAACATATGATCAGGGAGGATAATTTTCAGTTTTCCAGTCACTAGAAAATTTATTCCCAATACGAATCTTATTTGGTCTACATATTTTAAACAATTTAGGTTTATGTATATTTAGATAATTGTTTTATTATGCATATTCCTAAGCTGCAGTTGTAAAGACAAGAGTGCATAAAACTATTACTAACAGTCTGTAGGTATAATGTCACTTCTATATTAATTACATAAAATCTATTGTCTGTACGTATGCTGTGAGAGAATGTACAAACTTTAAGGTCTAACTTAAAACCAATTGGTTTTACCCAATAAGTGGGCCTCTGAGGCTTTATCCATAAGAGCGTTTATTCAATTGAATAAATTTCCTTCCACTACAAGCTCTCAGCCCTGACTTGCCACTGTTCACAAAAATGAGTATTCAGATTAAAGGCCGGCCGGTCCAGCTAAAGTGAGGATTGTTTATAAGGATGCAATTTTGTTAGAATACAGATAAACTTTCCTTGAACAACTGCCTGGGTAACTGTATATAGTGTTGAAGAAATCCAGCTGGCAGGAAGCAGACCAGTGATGCAGTTGGCTACTATATACAAAATGTAGCCAAAGAGCCACAGGGAAAATGAGAACAAATTCAGTGATTAGGAATTAAGGTCAAGAAAGCTTGAACCCCAGGATTGCAAAGTTACAAGACAAGCACCCTTAATAACTGCACAGCTACTCCTACCTCTCCATATGTTCTTACATAATTTTCATTTCTCTAAAAGTTACCCAAAAATAATTTTTTGGTCACAGTCTATAAACTGGCATTTAGAATCCTATGTTTGGTGAAATGAGTGCATTGCTTTATCAATATATATAAGCCATTAGCATTTGGAAGCATTCTAGATTTATTTATATGCAGCTTTATAAACTCACCAAACACTTGTTAGGAGTTAAATCATCTTTTGCACCAATGAAGCCAAAGAGTCCTGTGAGAAGAATCTGCGAAAGAAAGGATAGAAATTTAATTATTATAATACTGATAAATTCAAAATATTTTGTAATTATTCTCTAAACAGCCCTTGATCATCACAAAGCGAAATGTTAACTTGTACCATCACTGGAAAAGCAACTTGTTTAATAGCGTTTGATTTTATTAGAATAACTTTGCGCATGGAACTTGTCTAAGGAAATCTGGGATCATGATCGCAACATTGTTCAAATTCTTTAATTAAACCTTTTGCTAATAAACTTAAAAAGCTACGGTAAATCTAGAACTTAAGTGTACCTCATTCTGGTAATAAAATGGGTGATTTTTCACCACTTAGTGAACCCATCGGCTCAGAATAATACAAACGAGAGGCTGTGGATTGTGTTCAGTGAATAGTAGCAGATCAAGGTACAAATTTATCTTAAGCTAGAACACAATTCTTCCAAAATGATCAAATTGAAAAAATAAACGGTGGTATCTGAACAGTTTTTTCCCTTATATAAACAATAGCCGTGAGCATCTTATTGCAAGGATTAATCGAATGGATTTACAACATAATTTTAGGCATGGCAAATATGCATTTTTTTCTTGTAAACAAAGTGGGTATCCTGAAGTGTAGAGGACGTGGTCGCTCCGTTATACCGACGCAGTTAATTACTCAAAACACTCCACAAAATCACTAATTGCTCGTCAATGCTCTTAAGAGATCAAGAAATTTGGCGTACATAGATTGATAATTTCCCCGTGACGTAAAAAACACCAAATGAGTGAACGTATCTATACAATAGTTCAACAAGCCGCAATGCGAAATTTTTAGTCTATACTTTACTTCTTATCTTTCTCCAAGACAAACTAGACATCATGGCTGACCTGTATCTACTACAGAAGAGATCCCACGATACTGCTGATCGCACTGTCAAAAGCTCTACTTAGAATATTTTTGATTTATTGGTGGGTGAGTTACTGATTAACTCGATCATTCGACCAGGCGTTTACAGTCTAACAGATTTTCTACGCTCACCCAAATGCCAAGCCAAACGCCGTAACCGATCTTAGGACACCAGTGATCCACCGCAATAAGGGATGCAATTCCCAGTATGACCATCAAAGAGCCAAACACCATATGTGCAACAGCTAGCCCTCGAAGTGTTACGGGATGGTACGCCATGGCTACCAACAATAATATGGTGACCAAAAACATTCGAGAGTGATGTTAAGGGGGGTGGACATCTATGGCGGGGAAGGGGAGGGGAGGGAGTGGAAATATTTCGGGAAAACATTTCGCACGGAAGGACCTAAATATGAAAAATAAAACTAACAATGAGCTCATTTCAATGAAATTTTTTCATCTGATTGTGTGAATAGTGTAATTTAGCGTGTGATGTTTTAAATGCTGATTGAATCAATTTTGCTTGCTTTGTGTGTACGCAGCACGAAAGCACCTGGAAACGAGGCCGACCATCTGATATGACGTCATTGTTCTGCTCTCTTTTTCCTTGTTCTCGAAATACTTCTGTCGAAGGACAAATTCTGTCTCCGTCTCCATTGCCGTTATGGTGTATAGAGCAAGTACCCTGCGAGGGTTGGCCATCGCACAGATGGTATTTGGGGCTATAATGATCGTGTTCGGAGTAGCGTGTATTTTCTCCGCTGAATACTGGAGTTCGTACGTTGCTTTTGGCGTTTGGGTTGGCCTTTGGGTAAGTAAGCGTTTTGGGTAAGTTTTGTGTGTACATGTAGCTAGCTTCGAATGTCGTGTCTACAAATGCGTAGGACTGTCTTTTCGATTGTATATTGAAGTCTCTGACTTTTATATTTAGTTCCTGATGGAAACTCAGATCTAAACTCTGCCAAGTTTAGATCTGACTCAGTAGGTTTGGCCATGTTCTGTGAAAGCTTAGGCCCTGTTTACAAGCAAGGAGGGTAACCCTAGTGCTAGGGTTACCCTAACGCTCCCACATTTCTTCTTTTTTTCATCGACGTGTTTACAAGGCAGCTAGGGTTACCCTAGCACTAGGGTAACCTTAGCTGAGCGCTAGGGTTACCCTAGCACCAGGGTAACCCTAGCTGCCTTGTAAATGCTCTGCTGGGGATAACTCGCCTACCCGGGACAACTTTTTACTTGTTTTCAGACCCTTTGAACATTGATAACAATGTGTGAGGTTACCAAGTATAGGTAAGTTGTCCGGGGTGGTAGGGTAATCCTACCTGTGAAATTTTGCTTGTAAACCCGGGCTATCTTTGACCTGCCCGCTTGGGTAACCCTAGCACAAGGGTTACCCTCCTTGCTTGTAAACAGGGCCTTAGTCACGACATAGCATAAATCAGGGTTTTACTAAATGCAGGCCCTCGGCCCGCGACCCACGATGGCCCTGCAGCCTGAAGGCCCAGTGGCCCGCAACGGCCTGCGACCCAGAGGCCCAGTCTTGATTTTCCACAGTTTTTTTGTCCAGCAGTAAATCCACGTGCATGCACAGATCTGCATCGAGTTTAGGCATGCAAAATGGACTACAGTGAGTTTGAATTCGTTTTACCATTTAATCATTTGAATCCTTGTTTCTGTTTGTTGCACGTTGTTCAGATAAAAACATTTTCATTCTATGTTTATTAGTGAAAGTATCATAACAACAAAGGAGAAGAAAATATGAACCAGGGGTAAAATTGAAGCACAACACAAACAACAAAGTTGAATTTGTTGATGGCGGGGTTTAATTTTTCACTTTTTGCTGTGATCGAAAAGTAATCCTTTTACACCCGATATAATGTACCGTATTTCTTTGCCCAACCTCGAATAAGGAGCTGCCTCCTCGATGTCTGACAGTGTAATGTCAGCAAATCGATCGGACGCCCGACTGAGAAGCAGAGTACGCTTGTTGACCTAAGTGACAATGAGATTGAAAGCGAGTAAGTACCACTAAGAGACTTACCCGAACATAGAGTTTCCTTAGAAATGTACAAAAACTTTCAATGAACAGTTAAAATTCTGCTACGTGCCAAAAAGTGGTGCAAATTTAAGAAGTGCCTAGCCTTGAATAAGGGCCCACTGCCCCTCAGGACCAAAAATTTAGTAAGCGCCCAGGGACCCATTTCTCGAAAGTCCTGCTAACTTAACGGGCCCGTAAAGCTGTTCTGTTTTCATTCAAGATGGGAATTTCAAACGTTTTAAAAATGATACAATAAAACTATCAGCTAAAGAAAGAAGGACTGGTTTGGATGTCATAACCTGCTTTCCCATCTTTTAAATTTCTATTTTAAAAGATGGCTTCGGGCCTGTTAAGTTACCGGGACTTTCGAGAAATGGGCCCCAGGGTGCTTATTGTATAATATGGTACTTACATCGCCGGAAAGCAATGTTTGAGAACACGCTTTCCTTTTGGGGTGGAGTTCCTGTAAATAGATCGGCATGTCTCTGTACAGAAAAGATTCGCAGTTCACATTACTTATGATATTTTCACTTTCAAAGTATGGTCTGAAAATCACTTTCATCGTTCGATAATGAAAGTCCTCTATTGTGCTATCGGTTTCTGTGGAGAGATTAATGAACAGAGAATCAAAACGTTTTTGTCTGAACAACATGCAACAAACAGAAACAAGGATTGAAATGATTAAATGGTAAGTGAATTCAAAGTCACTGTCGTCCGTTTTGCATGCCCAAACCTGATGCAGATCTGTGCATGCGCGTGGATTTACCACTGGACAAAAAAAAAACTGTGGAAAATCAGGACTGGGCCACCAGGCCTCCGGGTCGCAGGCAGTTGTGGGCCACACGCCGCTCCGCCGCGGGCCTACTTTTAGCAAAACCCCATAAATCAGGTCTTGTGCCTGTCACTAAATAGCTCCCAACAATTGCTCGATACAATCTGGGGTCATCTAATTCTTGTGAGTTTACACCACACCCTTTTTCTACCCCAAAAGCATGTAGAGTTGATTTTGGCTGGCAATCGCTCATTTTGAATTTGGTTAGAACTTTGTCAATGTATTGGCGTTGGCTCATTTCAATTGAACTTTCACTGCACTTGAATTGGGTTCCAAAAACCACGAGAAGCTTACCTAAATCCTTCATTTTGAATCTTTGACTGAGAGATTCTTTTAAGCTCTCTAACAATTTTGAACTGGTTGCTGGTGTAACGATATCGTCGACCCAAATAATCAGGGTAACATATCCTTCGCTCTCTGAATTCTTTACGTACACGCATGAGTCAGCAAGTGACTGAGAAAAAATTTTCGTTACACAAAAAGCTAAGCAGCATATTGTTCCAATTTTTCCTGCTTTGTTTGAGACTGTAAAGTGATTTCTTCAATTTGCACACTAGCTTTTCGCTGTCTTTGCTTATCTCTTTGAAACCTTTTGGCTGTTCCATGCAAATATCGCAATCTATTGGCTCGTTTAGGTAAGCAGTTTTAACATCCATCTGGTGAGTGATCATTTTATTTTGGACTGCATGTTGCATCAGCATGTGAACTGAACTCATTTGAGCTGCAGGCGCAAATGTTTCTTGGTAGTCTATTTCAGCAAGTTGCAAATAGGCTTTAGCAACATAACGCGCCTTATGAGTTTCTTCTCCATTTGGTCTATTTTTGATAGTATACACCCATTTTCCCCAACCATTTGCCTACCTTCCGAAGGCATCACTTGGTCAAACGTGTCATTGTCATTTGAGGCCGTTATCTCATCTCCCATGGCTTTCTGCCATTTAGTCACCTCGAGCTAGTTCACAGCCTCATCGTACATTGTCGGTATGTTTGCAACTCTGTAACAGTAGTCTACTGTGTAATTGACATTGTTGTCTAGAACATACTCGTCAAGATGTCTGGGTTTGTTGCGAATTCTAGTGGGGTACCTTGTGTTTCCCTTGCTAGGGTCTTTGTCGTTATTCTCTCTAATGTTTTCATTCTCTTGTGGTTGGTCAGCCTGTTCAATAGGTTTGGTATCAACCCTTTGTACTGGGGTAGGGAGAATTGATTCTTCCCCTATATTTCAATTTCTGTTTGGGAGAATTTTACGCATCTCACCCTTTCGACCTTGTTAACATCAGGGTAATAAACAAGATAAGCTGGGCTTTCCCTGTCATAATGCACAAAAATGCCTCTTTTGCTTTGCACATCCAATTTCTTGGCATTTTGCACATAAGCGAAACACGTGGATCTCAAAATGTGCATATAGCCTAGGTTTGGCGGCTTTCCTGTTAGCGCCTCGGAAGGAGTCTTACCCAACCTAGGGTTAAAACATTGATTTCTAATATATACAGATGCCATCACTATGTAAGTCCAAAGAGTTTTTGGTAAATTTGTCTCAAGCAGTAAACAACGCACCATGTCAAAAAGGCTTCACCACACCCTCTATAAAGTCCCATCATTTTTGATGTGGGGAATATGGGGCACTCATTTAGTGTTTAATTGAATTTTCATGCAGCAAAGATTTAAACTTTTGGTTAGTGAATTCCGTACCATTGTCGCTCGGAATATGCTTGATCTTTCCGAAAGGAGCGGTGTCGGCTGAAAACTTCTACGTCGCCTCCATGGTATCACTCTTTTGCTTAAAAAAATACACCATGTTGATTCCTGTATAGTTGTCAATGAATGATAATGCATATTTGAAGCCATCTTTATTATCTATCGCTATACTGGATTAATTGGGCTGGCTAAATCACAATGAACAAATTCTAAAGGCTGTTTTGCTCTCTCATCTGGTTTGCTGCTCCAAAATTTGCACATTTTGCCTTGTGTGCAGATAGGGCACTCACATTGTCGGTCATCCACAGTTTTCATTCACTCAACTATGCTTTGAAGTTTTTGCAGATCATTAAAATTGTAGTGCCGCATAATTTTATGTCACTCCATTAGTGTGGTGGCATTGTTTTGGGCAGAAACATTATTCAAATAAAATAAACGCCCAAGTTGTTTTTTTTATGCCAAACATTATGCCATTTGGTGCCCTAAAAGTTTTGGCATCCTTGTCAAGGGTTATACTAGCCTCCTTATCTATGGCTGCGGAAACGGAAAAAATATTTTGTTTGTATGATGGGATGTAAACGGCACTGCTCAACACCTCATCCTGCACATTACCGTATATGTCATACAGCTTAACTTTTGCATTTCCCTTTCTTAAAACCACATTTGCTTGGCTTCCATCGGCTAACTCAATGAAATGCGTTTTAGGGTCAAATTTCTTGTCAAAATCTACAAAATTTTAACTTAGATTTGTTGTTTATATTATGGCTTGTAGTGCCAGTATCTAAAAGTAAATTTGAAATAATCTCACCTTTACTTTCCTGATCCTTAACAGTAAATACAAAACTATGACTATTAGTGTCCCTTTTAAGTTTGTGTTCTTCAAGTCCTGTTGCAGACTCTGCCGCGTCAGAGTTCCCTTTTTGGCAATCTTTTGTTTTGTGAGAATTGTTTTTGCATTAGTGGCACCACTTGTCTGTTATTTTGCTTGAGTAACAGTCTGAACTTCTGTGCCCTTTTTGTCCACATTTAAAGCACTTTAAAGACCTTCACCTCCCATAGCTCATACTTGTTTTCATCCCCGTCAAGTATAAGCGTTCTCCTGGGCCCATAACCTGTTAGGTTTACTGATGTCACCATGTTGTAACTAGAACATACACATCAACAAGTAGGAGTAACAACTGATTTTTATTGCGTATTTTACTGACTTTATACAATCATTCATAAGTGGCTCTGATTTAAGTTAATATACTTGGCATAGTAATCACCTATACAATTTTGCAGCATTTCTTAAAGCAGTTTCTACTAATGCGTAGATAAGCCATGATTAACTGCGACAAACATTGTGAGAAGGGTGCAGTTGTCATGATATTGGAGTGCGTATTCTAACAGATGTAATGAACCTTGATATAACGAAATCCTTGATATAACAAACGCAATCCAGAAGCCCAAACGTATACAGGTAGCCTGATAAAATGTAAACACCTGACCAAAGACAAATGCGAAACAGACCAACTATGCAGTTGTTTAAGACTGTACACACTGTTCATATTCAAGCATTTCGATTAGCAATTTTAGTTGTAAAGGAAAGAATGAGAAAAATGAGGCAATTTATAGTGGAAGAATTTTGATTGGCCATCTTGGTTAGCCATTTTAGTAGGAAAGTAATGTGTTTTTTTTTTTTGTTTAGAGTTTCTGTTTGGTTGTGGTATTCATTAACCCTGTCATTATGACATTTGGCAAGCTAGTTGCAATTGTTAAAATTTTGTTGACCCATTAAGTTTCTGGTGCTGTAGCTATGTACACACCTGTACAGTGTATTATAGCTTCATATAGACATAAGGCACAATGTCACACTACACACACACACACGCACACATAAACATTAACAACAATTATTAACCATACCTCAATATAACGAACATTTCAGTTGTTTTCCCACAAATTTGTTATATCAAGGTTTTTGATTTAACAAACCCTTGTTATAATGAACCAATTTCCCCAGTCCCTTGGCAATTCATTAAATCAAGGTTCCACTGTACTGTATATACAGATCACAATTTTAAGAGGCAAATGGACTGTATGTTGTAGAATTTTATATTAAAATATTTATGGCCAGGGAGCAGGGATGGTGCAGTGGTGAGAGCACTTGCCTCCCACCACTGTGGCCGGGGTTTGATACCTGAACCAGGCGTCACGTGTGTTGAGTTTGTTGTTGGTTCTCATCTTGGTACCAAGGGTTTTTCTCTGGGTCCCCTAGTTTTCCTCCCACTACAAGAACCAATGCTCCAAATTCCAATTTGATCTGGAAACAGAGTACAAGAGAAGAGCCACCCAGTGGAGTATCCATTGTTAAATTATATATTATTTATTTATTATTATTATTATTATTATTATTATTATTATTATTATTATTATTATTATTATTATTGTCATTTAGACTTGAAGAATATATATGTTATTACTGGGTAATGGAAATCCACAGTAAGAATTGAATTTCTCAACAGATCATTCTGCTTGTATGTTTTATAGGTTTTAATCACTGGAATACTGGGGTACATTGGAGCAAGAGATGACTCAATCCCAAACAAGTGTTTGGTGAGTTACTGAGCCTTTTATAGAGACTTGTGATTTTTTTTTCCTTGCCCATTTTTTCAGTACAATCGTGCACACATACTTATTAATATCCAGGGCTGTGCCTTGGTAAAGGGTAGAAGTAGGGTGGACTCCTTCTCCACTAGTAGATATGTTCATGTTGCTTACTGTAGACATGTTGAGTGATTGACATTCATTTGATAACTTTGTCCTTTCACTCTCTGGGTGGTTGGGGGGGTGTGGGGGGAAGTGTAAGGGGTGGTAGGAAGTGGGCACCTTTTCAAGGCTGGACACTTATTAACTTTTCTTACCTACAAGGTGAGTGCTTATTTAAGGTGGACTGCTTAATCGAATAAATACGGTACATAAAAGGTATGTGTTTGAATCGTGTGGTGTGTTTTTTATCTCAACAGATTGGGTGTTTTATGGGTTTCTCTATTACGGCTTGTGTCATCTCAGGAGTGATGTTCATCTGTTATTGTGTTACTCTTGCAAACTACTCCAAAATGAAGGCATACTGTGAGAATCAGTATCGATACTCAGATGACTATAACAGTGGGTTCACACGTTACTACGACTGTTACGGGAGGTATGACTTTAAAAGAAAAACAGCAGCAAACGTGGCTGGTCTAGGCTCTTGCTTGCTTATTTTCTCCTTGGTTGAGTTCTTCTTGGCCCTGGCATCATCTGTCTACTGTTGCACGGCAGTGTGCTGTGGTACCTCGCCTGGAGTGGTGAGCAATGTAAGTTATCTCTACCTAAACAATACAGGTGTTAGCGTTAAGAGTTTTTTTTTTAATGCATTCGACAGTCATCTGTACCTGGGGGTGAAGAATTTTAACCTTTTTTGGGTGGGTGGGAAATTTGAACCGGTGGAATACACATGTTTTAATGGCAAAGTTTAAACTAAGGTAATATGTTTGCTTTTGTGAGCAAATGGCATAGAAGAAAATTTTCCTATCTTCAAGTGATGTTTACTAGTGAAAAACAAAATAGTGGCTCAAAAAACTATTATGTGACATTACTTAATTCTACAACATTGGTTGATCACACAAATGATCATTCAATAACAGTTTGTGCTTCGGTGGTGCAATTTTTTTTTTCAGGGGCAGAAGGGGGAGGGCAGGAGTTTGGAGGAACCAATCGTAACTCTTTCACTCCTCAGATCTCATAAGTGATTCTCCTTTCTGTCTACCATACAAGTTCTTATGATGTTGGTTTGGAGAATTTTGAATTGGATCAACCTAAAATCCCCTAATTTATATTTTTCTTTATTCTCATCACTGGTCTGCTTGATATTGTATTGATACGGTAAGGAGAAATTCTGTCTTGATCACTCAGGGAATGAAAGGGTTATAAAAATTCAAATGCTAGAGGGGTTGCCCAGATAAAAGCTTGGAACTGAGTGATGTATAAACTTGCCTAAAATGGTTTTGTGCCTTTGGTGCAATGACATTATTTTAGATTACATTTTTTTAATTAGTAGTTAATATAATTGATTTTTTAATTACTGTGGCTATAGACAATGACCAACCAGCAAATGATGTATGTACAGCCTCAATACCTGTACCCAGGGGCACAGCCTGGTATGGTTTTAATGCAGACCGATGCAGGTGTGGTGCCACAGGGATACCCAGCAACAGGCCAGCAACCTGTGTATTTTGCTCGGCAGGTAACCAGAAGTAACTTATGCATTGATTTATAATACAATTCAAAGACAGACAGATGAAAAAGTTTGAGGCAACAGAAAGTTTTGGGGTATACTATAAGCACAGAATGATGCACTGTTCTTTGTTTTTATTTGTGAGAAAAATGAAATATTTTTCTGTGGCTCAGTGCAGTGTTCACTGTTGAAAATCTAATTTATCTAAAGGTATCAATTAAGGGATACAATCCCAGGTTTAAGAAGTCTCTTTTAAGATGGTACTGCAGCACTATAGATTGTGCATGATTGTGGGGAAATAATTAACCTTTGTCAAGTTATATAATAGTGCTTGATTAATCAGTTGAATGAAAATAACCAAAGATGAAACTTAAAGTTGTGCGAGGTGATAGTCAAGAGGAACTCTAGCTTCTTGAGTGCGTGGTAAACCTCTCAAGTGCATCCATAACTCAATAGTGTTTGCTGTGGTGTTTACCATATCTTTTATGACATAACATAACATTTAATACATTGTTGCAAAAGAGTTCCCTTTTACTTAACAAATCGCATGTGACTAGAAAAAACAAGTGTGTGAAAGCTAGTCTTTGCATAATTTTTTATGTTAGCAGCATACACCCATGGGCAAATGCTGAACACTGAATAAACCAATCAGAGTGTGCACTTCACTTTAGTTATGTTATGGTGCTACATATTGGAAAAAAAGATGGTACATTTTTAAATTTGGTGGCTGATCAAGAAATTTGTGTTTGTTAAATATAAGGCTAGCTGATGGCCCAGCTCTCCAGTGAGCTCTCTTTAGCCCATATGAGCAAAGAATCCAAAAGCCTGGGGTCCATTCCTTGTGGGAACTCAAATTTGAACAACATCTTTCATTTCATGATGTCTGAAGTCATTAATTTTGTATGTCTAAAATGGAGATTACTTTGTTCATCTGACAGCCAGGGTTGGTTGCACAGCCTGGGGTGGTTACACAGCCTGGGGTGGTTACACAGCCTGGGGTGGTTACACAGCCTGGGGTGGTTACACAATCTGGAATGGTTACGCAGTCTCGAGTGGCTGCACAACCTGGAGTGGCTGCACAGCCTGGAGTGGCTGCACAGCCTGGAGTAGCTTTTCAGCAACCCACTTACTGGGCTGTTCCCTCAGCGTCCAACCCAGCTGGAGCAGTGACTGTGCCTTATTCAGCTTCTGCTGTCCAAGTGCAGAATCAAGCTCAGGTTCAGGTAATTATGCACCAGTACATAACTATTAAATGTTAACCATCTGCATCCTACCATTGGCTTGCATGTTCTCCATACTGTTCTTTATGCATTTCCTCAGACGCTGACAAGGAGAATTTGTTTAAAAAATGATAGGCTAATACTAGAAATATTTCCATAGATACCTGCAGCAGTAAAGGATGAGGACAGGCCACCACCTTATTCATTTGAACAGACAGCTAATGTACCACCACAAGCTTTCTCTTCCATGGGTGCCAATCCAAATAATTAGTGTCTGACGTCATTACAATAATGAACAGTGACTTGTACACCAGGAGACCTTTGTTGTGCAATTGCGGCATACCTTACAAAATTTGTGTTTGTGAGTTCTTGTAGTATATATGTTATAAGGAATGGTTAGTTGACAGGTCTTCAAAGTGATTAATAACTGTTGATTAAAAAGTGAGTATTTTGGCCATAATAGTACTTACGCTTCAGCTGTAAATAGACTATAAATTCTTTTGTAACTTTTATTCATGTTTGTAGCGCAGGCTCTATAGGGCTTAAAATAACATCTACATCTAAGACTATAGCTAAGGCTTAGTAGCCTGAAAATAGCATTGTAACCATAACAAGCAGGTGCAAAATTATATTCTAAAGTAATAAAGGAGGTCAGATGTGCTATTTTTTTCATTTAAATTGTTTGAAATACTTTCTTAAAGGAGTAAATGTAGTTCAGTTTTAAACATATTCCCCAATTTAGTGGACCATCATCTCATAATATGCATATGCACGAAAGGCTATATATTTGGTCCAGTTATTCTTAATAGATTCAATGTTTTGAGGTAAAATCACTCCCTCATAATTCAGGACAGAAGTAATTCTTCCAAAATGATTAACACTGGTAAATGAAATCTGGGGAACCTGTTTCTTTTACATATGTATTGTTTACCTGTGCTTAACCTGCAAAGCTGTTAATTTAGCACAGTTGCTCATTATGTGTATCGTAGGACTCTTTCATCGTTGTTCGATTAAAATACAACATCTAGCACTGAGGTGTACCTTTCTTCATTGTGTAACCAACGGCCTTTGAGTACCTTGTAAAGTGCTTAAATGCAAGGAACTGAATGCACTCTCCACATTGTTTTGGTATGGAAACATTAGCAAATCAGCTATTTTATTAAACCTTGTTCTCTCCGTATAGACTGACACAGTAATGTGTTATGGGCTGCACCCCACAAAAGTTATTGATTGTGCTTGTTTTTCAGACATCAATGATCCATAGCAATTATGGATTAAATGCAAATCCAAGTATGATCATCAAAGAGCCCAACACCTTATGTGCAATAGCTAAATCTTGAGGTGATGTAAGATAGTATGCCATGGCTACCAAGTTACTGTAAGCTGTAATAATAAACATGAAAGAATTGTGTGTCAGATTGGCTGAAAGTGAGTGCATTTTCATGTAACTCGAGTACAAAGTTGTAACTCAAGTGCAAATTGCAAATAGCTTGACTGCTGTCCAGATTTTGTCTGTCTTGACTTTGGGTACTGCTTTTGCAAATTTTGTAAATTACCAACAAGTAATACCACGATTTCTCGTGCAATTTGGGGTGCATCAACACTTATAAATTTTTCAAAGACTATAAATTACACTTGCCCTGTGGGCTTCTGCACTTTTGTTGTCTTTCAAAAATTTAGACATGCTTAGAACACCAAAATGCATAGAGGCCAGAGGGGCAGGAACACTTGGAAACGAGGCCGACCATTAGAAATTACGTCATTGATTCACTTGTTTGTTTGTCGCCACTTTCATCGCAGTCATGGTGTACAGGGCATCCACGTGGCGAGGGTTAGCCATCGCACAGATGGTATTTGGACCCGTATTATTATATTGCCCGTATTATTATAGGGCCCGTCTTGTCTGTTCTGTTTCGCTATGCGAGCCAATTTGGTGTTGATATTCTCGAGGGTTTCCAACGGTGGCCCAGTAGGCTCAACGCAAACTAAAAATATATTGCAGTAAATAAAAAATATACTGCAGCAAATAAAAAATATACTGCATCAAATGAAAAAATCAAAACGCAAAGAAAAAAAGTACCGCAGCAAATAAAAAAAGGCAACGCAAACAAAAAATACTGCAGGAAATAAAATATGCCACGCAAACAAAAACAAAAAAAGAAAACGCAAACAAAAAAAATTGGAACGCAACGCCAAGGAAGACTGGGTAATAGTTCTTAGTTTCCCGCCAAAACAGCATGAACTGGAACTCGCTTTAGGCTGTGGACGAAAGCGATCTGCGTGGGATTATAGAGGATTACTTTCATCAAGGGTATGAAAATAGAGTTATTATCGATTTTTGAAAGGAGCAGCATGGTACTGTCATAAGTTCGCTGCAAAACATGGTTTCAGAAAGGTGAACAAGCAAAGGATGGAACGAGTGTTGGCGGGAAACTAAGAACTATTACCCAGTCTTCCTTGGCGTTGCGTTCCAATTTTTTTTGTTTGCGTTTTCTTTTTTTGTTTTTGTTTGCGTGGCATATTTTATTTGCTGCAGTATTTTTTGTTTGCGTTGCCTTTTTTTATTTGCTGCGGTACTTTTTTTCTTTGCGTTTTGATTTTTTCATTTGATGCAGTATATTTTTTATTTGCTGCAGTATATTTTTGATTTGCTGCAGTATATTTTTTGTTTACGTTGAGCCTTCTGGGCCACCGTAGTTTCTTCGGGTAAACTTACCACACATTCTGGAACAGCAGGCAGAATTCCATCGCCAGCCGCCTTTGATATCTAGTTAGCATTGCGTGACAGAATAACAGAGAACGTTCTGTACAGGAAAAATGACTCGAGTTCTGTCAATAAATAATCGATTTCTACTGTATTTCGTAGCTGAAATAGATTCTGACGGTCGTTAAGCTTTCTCTGCTAGGAAATTCTCTTTAAAAATTAAGCAATTCTTTGGGTTAATGCAGGGTCTTCGTTTACGTAGTACGAAAACGAAAACCCTTTATTAAAAGCAGACAATTCTTTGAAAGTACGATTGTAGAAGTACCCCGAGCACTAGAAGTTGTTATTTCAGCTTTTGATATGTTAAGACAGTTCGCGAGTGGTTTTTCTTGGTCTTTCTTCAGCCACCACTGCTTTCGGCTCTTGGATTTGTTTTTCTATGCATTGAGTCCAAGTTTGGAACAGACATCCCTGTCGAAGGAGCGATCGGAATATTTTAGGGCCTCAATAAGGTTAAGCAGGCTTTATTCGGGCGCGTACTCTCTTTTTCGGCCTAGCGCCACATGTTGAGAAGTAAACATCTCCAAAGGAACCTTTTCCTATTTTCTGTTTTACCGGAAATTCACTACATTTGAAGCGTGGAATCTCTTCTGCAATTTTTCTGTCAGGTGACCCTCTTCGTATTAGCTGAGGAAGCTTAAACTTTCGAAAAACCGACATAGTTGAATTTTTTACCGCTCCATCTCCACCAGTTTCGCGCAAAAATGTTTCCCACGGCCGCACGTGCGATAGTCGGCCTTCGACCTCAATTGTTCAAAGGAAGCCATCGTTTTGTCACACCACCAACAGCGAGATCGTGTTCTCTCACTGCACACGTCCGTCACGCAATGCGCGCTGGGCCGAAAAAGAGAGAACGCGCCCGAATAAAGCCTGCTTAACCTTAATGAGGCCCTAAAATATTCCGATCGCTCCTTCGACAGGGATGTCTGTTCCAAACTTGGACTCAATGCATAGAAAAACAAATCCAAGAGCCGAAAGCAGTGGTGGCTGAAGAAAGACCAAGAAAAACCACGCGCGACCTGTCTTAACATATCAAAAGCTGAAATAACAATTACTAGTGCTCGGGGTACTTCTACAATCGTACTTTCAAAGGATTGTCTGCTTTTAATAAAG